CATGGTTTTGGTCCAAAAATGGTCATTTTTCCAACTTTTTTTTTCGGCAAAATAGGGCAGGAAAATGTCTTTTACTATATTCTGGAACGAAAATACTCCTTTCTAGGCTATAAAAAAAATAAGTTCAAAAAGTCGAAAAATTGCCTTTTTTTCCAAAGGAGGTAACCCATGGTTTTGGTTCAAAAATGGTCATTTTTCCAACTTCTTTTTTTTCAGGCAATATAGGTCAGGAAAAAGTCTTTTGCGATATTCTGGAACGAAAAAACGCCTTTCTAGGCTATAAAATCAAGAAGTTCAAAAAGTCAAAAAATTGCCATTTTTCCAAAGGTGTTAACCAATGGTTTTGGTCCAAAAATGGTCATTTTTCCAACTTCTTTTTTTTTCGGCAAAATAGGGCAGGAAAATGTCTTTTACGATATTCTAGAACGAGAAAACTTTTTTTTAGGCTATAAAAAAACGAATTTCAAAAAGCCGAAAAATTGCCATTTTTCCAAAGGAGTTAACCCATGATTTTGGTCCAAGACTGGTCATTTTTCCAACTTCTTTTTTTTTCGGCAAAATAGGGCAGGAGAATGTCTTTTACGATATTCTGAGACGAAAAAACTCCTTTGTATGTTATAAAAATAAAGATGTTCAAAAAGTCAAAAAATTGCCTTTTTTTCCAAAAGGGTTAACCAATGGTTTTGGTCCAAAAATGGCCATTTTTCCAAGTTCCTTTTTGCAGGCAATATAGGTCAGGAAAATGTCTTTTACGATATTCTAAAACGAAAAAATGCCTTTCTAGGCTATAAAATCAAGAAGTTCAAAAAGTCAAAAAATTGCCATTTTTCCAAAGGAGTTAACCCATGGTTTTGGTCCAAAAATGGTCATTTTTCCAACTTTTTTTTTTTCTGAAAAATAGGGCAGGAAAATGTCTTTTACTATATTCTGGAACGAAAATAGTCCTTTCTAGGCTATAAAAAAAAGAAGTTCAAAAAGTCGAAAAATTGACTTTTTTTCCAAAAGGGTTAACCAATAGTTTTGGTCCAATAATGGCCATTTTTCCAACTTCTTTTTTTCAGGCAATATAGGTCAGGTAAATGTCTTTTACGCTATTCTAGAACGAAATAACTTCTTTCTAGGCTATAAAAACAAGAAGTTCAAAAAGTCGACAAATTGCCTTTTTTTCCAAAAGGGTTAACGCAAGGTTTAGGTCCAAAAATGGCCATTTTTCCAACTTCTTTTTTTTAGGCAATATAGGCCAGGAAAAAATGGTCATTTTTCCATCTTCTTTTTTTTTTTGGCAAGATAGGCCAGGAAAATGTCTTTTACGATATTCTAGAACGAAAAAACGCCTTTCTAGGCTATAAAAACAAGAAGTTCAAAAAGTCGAAAAATTGCCATTTTTCCAAAACGGTTATGCCATGGTTTTGGTCCAAAAATGGCCATTTTCCCAACTTTTTTTTTTAGGCAATGTAGGCCTGGAAAATGTCTTTTACGATATTCTAGAAGAAAAAACCGCCTTTCAAGGCCATGAAAACAAGAACTTCAAAAAATCGAAAAATTGACATTTTTCTATTGTTTTGGTCTAAAAATGGCCATTTTTCAAAATTTTTTTTAGGCTATATAGTCCTCGAAAATGTCTTTTAGGATATTCTAGAGCGAAAAAACGCCTTTCTAGGCTATAAATACAAGAAGTTTAAAAACTCGAAAAATTGACATTTTTCCCAAGGGGCTAACCCATGGTCTTGGTAAAAGAATGCCAATTTTTCAACTTTTTTCTTGGGCAATATAGTCCAGGAAAATGTGTTTTACCATATTCTGGAAGGAAAAACGCCTTTTTTGGCAATACAAGCAAGAAGTTCAAAGGGTGGAAAAATTGACATTTTTCCAAAGGGGTTAACTCATTGTTTTGGTCCAAAAATGGCCATTTTTCCGTTGGTTTTTTTAGGGCAATGTATACAAGGAAAGTGTGTTTTAGCATATTCTAGAACGAAAAAAAGGCTTTTTTGGCTATAACGATAAGTTTTTCAAAAAGTTGAAAAATTGACATTTTTCAAAAGGGGTTAACTCATGGTTTTGGTCCAAAAATGACCATTTTTCCATCGTTTTTCTTGGGCAATATAGGCCAGGAAAGTGTGTTTTACCATATTCTAGAACGAAAAAAAGCCTGTTTTGGCTATAACGACAAGAATTTCAAAAAGTTGAAAAATTGACAGTTTTCAAAAAACGCCTTTTTTGGCTATAACGACAAGAAGTTCAAAAAGTCGTAAAATTGGTCAAAAATAGGGGTATTTTAAACGCGAGAACATTGAATGTACTGGAACAGGAGCAAGGACAAAGTTACATAAAATCAAAATTGTAGTTTTTTTCTACTTAGGGTATGTCGTCACGAAATACGTCATTTGACGTCACAATGACATATTTCGTGACGAAAACTTTTCATCCCGGCACATAAGTAAATAAAAGTAAGTAGAAAAACTACATTTTTGATTTTATGCACGTTTTTTCTTGTTCCTGTGACAATACAGTCATTGTTCTCAGGTTTAAAATCCCCCTAATTTTGACCGTATATGGTCATGTGGGGGAAAGTTTGATTTCTTTTATTAGCTGTAACTTTACGCCATTTTATCGAAAAAAAAATCGAAAGTTTTGAAAGGGTTAGCCCATGGTTTTTGTTTAAATTCTAAGTTCTTTCATTTGTGTGCTTTTTTGTTAAGAAATCAAGTCTCAAAATCGCTTTTTGATATTCTGGATAGAAATGAATGCTTTTTAGACCAGAAAATTGACCTTTGAAGAAGTGACAAAAAATCGAAATTTGCAAAGGGGTTCACGTCCATGGTTTTTGTCCAAAAAGCGAACTTTTTCGTATCTGTGTTTTTTCGGCAAATAAAGTGAAAAAAAATCGTTTTTGCAATATTCTGGATAGAAAAGAATGTTTTTTTACCAGAAAAGTCAATTTTGAAAAAGTGTTAAAAATTCGACGTTTGTAAAAGAGGTGTGTTTTGGGCAAATTAAGTGAGAGAACATTTTTTGATATATATTCTGGATAGAAAAGAATAGTTTTTAGACTAGAAAAGAGCCATAAAATCGAAATTTTCTAAAGTGGTTAGTTAGTCCACGGTTTCATTCAAAAAATCGAAGTTTTTCTCATGTGAGTTTTTTAGGCAAAACAATTTTGAGAAGATCGTTCATTTATATTCTGGATGAAAACAATGCCTTTTAGACCAGAAATGTGAAGTGTTTAAAAGTGCCAAAAAATCGAAATTTTTCAAAGGGTAATTTCTTGGTTTTTGTCCAAAAATCGAAGTTTTCTCATGTGTGTTTTTTTGGGGCAAATTAAGCCAGAAACAATCGTTTTTTTTTTATATCCTATTTTTTGGAATATATTTTAGCCCTGAAAAGAGAAGTTGTTACAAAGTCGAAAACTTTCGAAATTTTCCCATAATTTTGTTCAAAAAATGAAAATTCCTTCCAAGGTGCTTTCGTTAAAGGAAAGTCATTTGAGGCTATTTTATCGTATAGAAAGGTTATTTTTACAGTCTTGAAAGCTTACTTTTCTATTTAGAAGATACTAAAATGACATAAATAGTAGCATTTAACAAAAAAAAGACCTTGGGAGACGTTTCCAATTTTTCACCAAAATCATGGGTAACCCCTTGGCAAAAATGCCGATTTTCCGACTATGAAAATAAAGTTATTTTTATAGTCTAGAAAGTAAGCTTCCTCCTCTATTCAAAAATGGGAAATTTTTCTCAAGGATGATTTTTGTTATATATACTCTTAGATATGCTGATTAATTATGTTCTAAATAGGAAAAGGAAGCCTATTGAACTAAAAAAATACTTTTTTGTCATGGTCGAAAAATCGGTATTCTTGCAAAGGGGTTAACCCATGATTTTGGTTAAAAAAAATCTATTTTAAGGTTATTTTTTCTTTATAATACTTCTAGATATGCTCTTTAATAATGTTCTGAATATTTTTGCAAAGAGGTTAACGCAAGTTCTTGGTCAACAGTTAGAAATTTCTGCCAAGGTTGGTTTCTTCTTATTTGTATAATGTACTCCTAGATTTTACAAATAGATTTCATGTTGTACATGTGGTGCGTCTGTTTAGTGATAAATCACAGATGATGTCAAAATGTGGTATTAGGGAGTTTAAGCAGCGACGTTTTTGAGCGACGGACGTCAAACAGGAAGTGAGCCTTTTTCTACTTTAAATTGCCTTGACGCTACCAAATTTGTACTGCTGAGAGTCATTACCCTTAAAGAGACGATTTGCCCAAAAAGTTGTTGAAAATCACGGCTCAAGAGTGCAAAAAGTCCACTTCCGGTCAACGTGCATGGCTCAAAAACGTGGCTGCTTAAAGGGACAGTGTCCCGATTATGCGCGCGCGCGAGCGTCATCTGTTTTTTCTTAAAAAGACAATAGAACTGTCATATTGACGCGACAAGATTTCCTTCCGGACGGCATCGCCGACGGGAAATTTGATGTTTATATTCTCAAGTAATAGTTTAGACTTTCGAAGAAGTCTTTCGTCTTATATAAAAATTTGGCTCGCGATTCGAAGACTCATCGCGATTTTATCGCTAGCTTTTGGAAAGAAGCTTTTGACGTAACCTATGATCTATAAAAATCGACAAAACTCATTGATTCCTGTTATTGGTAAAGGGTTCTGATTATAGTTAACAGAAATCACACAACAAGTCAATTGCCAATCTCTGGCAATGCTAGCTTTGGAAGGAAAAATCTCATGATCAGGAAAACCATTCTCGATTCGAAATCCAAGAATACAGCAAACTCAATAAAGTCAAGTCATTTTTATCCTCAGAGCGGGTTGGTAAACCGAAAAACACTTGCACATTCCCTTGAATGTTACATGAACTGAAAATTCCGTTTCGAAAACTTGCATTCGCCGTAGATATCGACACATTGGCCATGTGATTCATTCTTTCAATGACAGGAGCGTTGGTAGCTGTTTGACTCCCACGAGTTGAAATTTGCTTGCTATCAAACTCTGGCTATTGATTCTCCAGAGCATTAGAAATCGTATCAGAGACAATTTCCAGCTGAAGAACTGAAGGTCGAGAACTGTATTGAGCGAAGCTTTGCTCACTACTTTGACCAGAAACAAACATGATGTGACGGTCTGGAACATTTGCATCCGAAAGCTAGGTTAACGCAGATACCCTGGCTGAATGGTTAGTGTAAATGTCAGAGAGCTTTGCTCTGACGGAGATAATTTTCATCAATTCGCCAAGCTTGTTAACGCCAAGCGGCTTGTTCTCGTACCAGACAGTGTCGTCACCGGTTATCTTCTCTTTTGGGTGTTATCTTTCCCAGAAGCAAAAAAATTTCGCTTCTTACAAGTCTCTGAAATAGAGGTATTCTTATTACTAGAAAGTCTGCATACAAAGACGTCAACTGGGATTGACAAGGTTCATCCACTTTTGTTAAATCTTCCTATCAACCAAAGTATTTTTCCTGATAGTATGAAACTTGCTATAGTTGTTCTAATTTTCAAACAAGGTTCTCGACCTTTCCCAGTTCTCTTTAAGTAAAATATTTTAGAAATGTATTTTTTTAATCAGCTAATCTTTTATCTTGCGAATGAAAACATTTCCTCAAAACAATATGGATGTAGATCAGGTTATACAACCTCTGACTGGTCTTATTGAACAAATAACCTCCTCTCTGGATCAAGCACACTGTGTGGTTTCTCTATTCTTTGATTTAGGTAAAGCTTTTGATACAGTAAATCATCAAATGTTAGTAAATAAACTTAAGTATTACGGATTACAATAAAGCGAAAATAATTGGTTTCAATCTTACTTAATTAACTGGAAGCAGCAGGTGCACATAAATGGTGTCACTTCTGAATCATGTTCAATCTCCGCTGACGTACCTCAAGGATCGATAGTAGAACCTTTGCTATTCATTATTTTCATTAATGACTTTTCCAAGTCTTCTACTTATTTTTACAACTAGATTTTAGGCAGACGATACATCTTTAACAGCTTCTGGAAGGGCTCATGACAGTTTATTGTGTGAAATTAACAATAATTTGCCAGCTGTCTGCGAATGGTTATGCAGTAATACGTTGACCTTAAATTTGACAAAAACTAAGTATCTTATTTTTATGCCTTGTCAAAAGGAAAATTGCAATTGCCTAATTTCATACTGCCCGGGGGCCTGGCACTACCGGATTTTCCGGACTTTTTAAAAAGTCCAGTTTAAAAATGGCGGATAGTCGGAGTAAAAACTCGAACGAAAGCATTCTTTTTCGAAGAAATATTGATCAATATTACCTCGGAGAATCTGTCTAAACTTAGTAAAGAAAGGATGCAGTATTTCTGCCATGCCCTGAAGCTAAACTTAAGGAGCCGACACTCAGCAAGTGCAAGCAATGGTTCGATGAACAGGTCGCTCGAACCAAACATGATTATAAATTTTCTACAACAAAGGATCCTCTGTTTAATTCTACCCGCATATGAAAAGTAGAGGATCATTGCAGGAAAGAACACAGATGTTATTGTGCACGTACCGTTCGTAGCCTAATTATGCTGAAGGAAAACTTAAAAGGGCAGTACAGAAGGGCTTACCTGGATTATTCCGGTCGCGGAAAAGAGTAATGTCCGTGAAAGGTAATGAGTGTAGTGAACTTTGTGGCGTTATGTATGTTAAACCTAGTGTTGTTCACCTGAAGGAAGATAAGGGACTTGTCTATACTCAGTGCATGCTAGCCAAAAGATAGATGTACGTGACATTCTTGATTGTGATTACAAGCTAATTGCCCAAATTACAGGAACTGCAGTGTTACCGGACGAGAAGTGCCTCTCAACTAAGACTGAAGTATACTTGCTTTTATCCATGTTCAGTGAGAATTGTTTCCGGTCTGATCTTTAGGATTTCTACTGAGACCGTACGTAGCAACGGGCAGAAAATCTAATGCAAAAGCCTTGCCGACCTAATATGCAGTGTTGCTCTTTCACTCAAGTTCACTCTGCGCGTGTTTCGCTGTTTGGTAGTTTTTATTTTACGGTTTGTAAAAGCAGGTACACCCACTCCCTTATCATTCCCCAATATTCGGTCGGATCCAGCGCAATAAAAAGAGCTAAACTCGACGGTTCTTTGTTCAAATTTTTTGTCGAATAATTCGGGAATCCTTCCAATACTTCCCAGTACCGAAAGTCTCCCATTAGGTCTTTCTCTTATCTCGAATTTTTTAATCGAGGTTCTTTATGGCAGTAAAACAACTGTTCTTAGCTTTAGAATATTAACTTTCTGGAGTAATCTGGCCCTTAATATTGTTTCAGCTGCACGCAATGACCTTTGCTTTACCTTCTATTTTGGAAGCCATTTTCAACCCGGAATTTAAAAAGTCCGGGAAAATCCGGTAGTGCCAGGCTCCCGCGCGGCTTGAAATTAGGCAATTTGTATCCACCATTGAGCGTAGGAAAGGTTCATTTAAGGAAGTTTTTGTTTGTGTATATCGATTGTCATCTTACTTGGCGTGACCATATGCAAATTGAATACATATGGGGCAAAATAAGTAAAAATATAACTATAGTGGTTAAGTTAAAGCATCATGACTCAAAAGCAAACACTTATTAGTTTGTATTATTCTTTTAATATATATCCTTACTTTACTTATACTTGTACACTATGGGGAAATAATTATAATGCTTCACCGTCTCAAATCGTAAAATTCCAAAACAAAGCGGTTCGTATTACAAGTGATGTTCCTTTAATGGAATCAATAACTCCACATTATGTATCCCTCAGCCGATTGAAATTTCCTGATATTGCTAAAGTGAACACATGTAGGCTTTTAAATGATTATTTCCAGCATGAAAAGTTTCCTAATATACCAGTTTCACTTAAGTATCTGAGCTACATAATTACAATTATACCTGCAGTGCATCATCTAATCAAATAGTCATTATACCCCCATTTTGAACTAATCTCAGGAGATTCTGCCGCAGTGTTATTGGAAGATTCTTTTGAAATAGCACTCCGCAGTTAATCAGAGAAAAACCATCTTAAAAATTGTTTATAAAAGCACTTTTACGCTGGTACCTTGCTCAATACTAATGAAACATCATCTCTTTTACAATTCACTGAGCTATTTTTTTCTTCCCTCTACTTTTCTATTAAAAACTACATTTTTTTTGTCATACGTAAGTTTAAGAGGCACAATATTAGTTTATTTAGACGTGCCCCTCTCCTCTCCCTCCTATTTACAATTTGAGTTAATTTAAGTGCTGTTATTTTGTATTGTGTGTTTTATGTCTTTGTAAATATATTTTTTTTCTTACTTTTTCACCTTGACATGTGTATTCAATTCTGTATTATCTTTTGCTAAGGTTTGGAGAAACAAATAAAATGAGATGAAAATGAAATGAAATGATGTTTCTAGTTTAGGTGGCCCGAGCCTATTTATATGCGCGTTGTTTATGTTTTTTGAATCGCATTTTTCGGCAGAAAAGGTTCAACCGTTTTTTTTATGATTTTTGGCATGGTCGAACTTTAAGAAAATGATAAATATTTTCTTGTAGGTATAAAAAGGTTCGAGATATAGGTATATGTTTAAAACCGCATTTTTACAAAAATGTAAAAAAAAAAAATAGAAACCCTAAGATACATTTTTCTCTAACTTCAGCAAATAAGCCTAAGAGCTCTCTAGTTTTATATCTGCAAGTTTGAAGTCAATTGTGACCGTAGAACTCTCTGCACAAATATAGCTAGTCAAATTTAACGTTAAAATGCAACGCTAACACATTTGTGAAAGTAGACGCACAAAAAGAGGAAAATTGCCGACGGACTATCCCCTATTTGAAAGGGTATAAATTGTTGCCCAAAGCTTCAGTTGCAATAAACTGAGTAATCAGAAACCTACGCCAAATCCACTGATTTCCAATACAATAAGAACAACTTTATGCTGAATGCGGGGCAATATTAAAGAACATCTGAAAGTTACCGTGTATTTGCCCTTCTCTTTTAGAAAAAATCTCAACAAAGCAAGATATAGCATTTACAGACATCTCCTACCAGTTTCTACCACCGAAGGTTCCCGTCTTGAGGAGAATTAAAGCCACAAACTCCAGTACTTCAACCGATCCATTTTCAGCTGCAACGAAAATCCTTGTACTTGGTAATTTATTCAAGCTTGTTTGATTTGCCATCACAATCGCACGGGCAGTTTGCCATTGGGGATAATGAAAAGAATGAGACGATTGTCATATTTTCTTCATCTTTATCCCCAAGTGGCAAACTTCCCGTGCGAATGTGGTATCAAGTCTAAAAAGCTTCAATAAATTACCAAGTATAAGGGCTTTCAGTGCAGCTGCGAGTCCATCGGCAGTTTTCCTCTATTTGTGCGTCAACTCATGTTCACAAATGTGTTAGCGTTGCATTTTAACGTTAAATGTGACCAGCTATTTGTGCAGCGAGTTTTACAGTAGTGACTGAGCTCTAAGGCTTATTTGCTGAAGTTAGAGAAAAATCTATCTTAGGGTTTCTAAATTACTGACTTTTTTTGTAAAAATGCGGCTTTAAACATATGCCGATATCTCAAACCTTTTTAAATCTACAAGAAAATAAATAACATTTCCTTAAAGTTCGACAATTTTTTATTAAGGATGCCAAAAATCATAGAAATTTGTTGAATCTTTCCTGCCGAAAAACGCGATTCAAAACCATAACCAACGCGCATAAAAATAGGTTCGGGCCACCTAAAGGCAGTAACGTCATTTCATTTCATTTTCATTTCATTTCATTTATTTCGCCAAACCTTAGCAAAAGATAATACAGAATTAAATACACATGTCAAGGTGAAAAAGTAAGTAACAAATAATATTTACAAAGACTGAAATCTTTCCTGCCGAAAAAAGCGATTCAAAAACATAACCAACGCGCATATAAATAGGTTCGGGCAGGGTGTAAGAAGCTCATACGCGCTCTCTGGTTCAGAGAGCTATTGCCTGCAGCAAATGAATGCTCCAGGATAAAGGCTAACGTCCGCTGGATAATCTCTCTGACGGTCCAGTATAATGTCCGCCTTCTTGTTTTGTCTCTTTGGTAGTACCCAGACCCTTGCATCACAGCTAGATCGCTCGACCCCGCTCGTTTCAACGCCCTAGCTTCTTACGCCCTGGAATCGGGCCACCTTAAACAATGCTAACGCCCGCTATACCCAGCGTCTAAAAAGGGGTTTTCAGCAAATCTCGCCATAGCGCTGTACTGTCGCAATTTGTAATAATCATCGCACTTTGTAATACCTGTCGCAATTTGTAATAAATCCATCGCACTTTGTAATACCTGTCGCAATTTGTAATATACCGTGTCGCACTTTGTAATAAAAAAGCTGTCGCAATTTGTAACAACCGTCGATCGCACTTTGTAATAAACTAAGCTGTCGCAATTTGTAATAATTCCATCGCACTTTGTAATAACTTTTTGAGAGTAATTGAACTTACTTCGTCAACATTAATATAATGCCAAAATGTGCATGGTACTTCATAAACAAAGATGATGACGTCTGCTGGCACGTAACACCTCCGCTCATTCAAACATTTAACTTTATTCACAGTCCTAAACATTTTTTTCAGATTAATGTTGATTAGTTATCTGACTTACGAAATGCTGTACTCTTAAACCTTGCTATTGTACTAGGTGGTTTTCATTCAGTGGTTACCCGGCGAGTGTACTTCCTTATATGGCCAATACGGGAATGTGCCTCTAGATAGGTAAGTACCGCCTGATAGGGTATGGTTTTTGAGGATCTCGAGCCTTTAATAGGGTATCATTTTTTACGTTGTTGGCCTTGTGTCTTTGGTTTGATCCTTAGATAGGGTAACTCAAGTAGTAATGGATGGTTTATTCCATCCTTTCCATTTTGTGGAAAAACAGTAATCCAGAACACGCTCGAAAGAGTTGTATATACGCAGGGAAGGATAATTTTTTACTATCCCGGCCCCATGGTATTTGCTTTAGAGGAGTCCGTAGAAAATAATTGTTTTAAGATAGAATGAGTACTCGTTTTGATCCTATATGGGACCAAATCAAGTGAGAATAATGGGCCAAATGCCCAGCCGGCTCAGTGTAAGACCCCAAGTGAGTGTTATAAAAACAGGTACATAAGAAGGTATTGGCCAGCGACTAATTGGATTTTGTTTTTAGGTTTCTGTTGTGGTTCGACGGTTTTTTATTTGCAGTAAAAATTTTGAATCTTTCCAGGCCTCGTTTGATTAAGTTGGCCAAAATATGGAAGCCACTATTACTTCTTTAAGATTGCGCGTTAGACAAGGACGGTGCACAACGTGTTGCATCGACCTGTTATAAGATCTAACAAGGAAAGCTTGAACTCTCGTGGTGTCCTTATTCGAATGATGTAGGATGGATGTTACGATTTGCGGAAATTAAATGCTTTTTAATAATGGTTCGTTTGTGTCCAGTGTGTCTAGCTCTGTCGAGATCCTGTACTCTGACAATGCTCTGTCTGTCTAGCCCATCCATATATGGGATTATCCCCCGAAGACTTCACGTGTCACGTGGCAAGCAAACATGGATTTGGACGACGAATGCCAGGTTATTCATGAATTTTCTGTTGTTAAATGTTGCTTTTGTTATTTAAATATTCTTGATTTTAAACATGATTCATATCTTTTTGGTTATATGTCACAGGAAGTTTCATGTCTTTCATAAAAGCTTTTCTAGTTGGTCACGTGATTAATCAAGGCAGAAAAATTTATAGCGGTAGACATGCATGTTTGACCAAAGAAAATGTTACGGAGATGTTACGTGCTAGCAGACGTCACCATCTTTGTTTATGAAGTAGCATATTTTGGCATTATATTAATGTTGACGAAGTAAGTTGAATCACTCTCAAAAAATTATTACAAAGTGCGATGGAATTATTACAAATTGCGACAGCTTAGTTTATTACAAAGTGCGATGGACTGTTATTACAAATTGCGACAGCTTTTTTATTACAAAGTGCGACACGGTTTATTACAAATTGCGACAGGTATTACAAAGTGCGATGGATTTATTACAAATTGCGACAGGTATTACAAAGTGCGATGATTATTACAAATTGCGACAGTACAGCGCTCTGTGCTTTTGATTATGACTCCGACTCTGCTGCTAATGAAAGCCAGCCTTAAGATTTTGTTTCCTTTTACCGTTAAAAATATAATGTTATAGGATGAGGTGAGGACCTCTTAGGTTGGTTTTTGGACACTTCTATACTTTTTTACGTTGCACGTGTTCAGTGTGTCATTCTCCGGAGCAACTGTTTAATTTTGTAAGATATTTTGGACCAAAAGACACTCGTTAAAGGGACAGGTTCACCGTTCAGCGCATGCTCATTTATCAAAATGCTGTTTTTCTGCTCGGACATGCTGTATCGTCTATGCAAGCAACATGATCATGTCATAATGTTTTCAAAGAACCAATCTCCACATTCCCCTGGCAGTCACTTGCACTTGATCAACTTAAATATTTGAAAATAGCTGTAAATTAATCGACCATGGAATGAAACCTTCGGGTCAACAATAAATTGTACGCTGGTAGTGTTGGTATACTACACCAATTTTTTCTGCGATTTTAGTACTCCTCCATCCTACTTCAGGTTACTCTGAAATAAAATTCTTCTTTGAAATACGCTCTGAGGTCGCTGGGATACGCATGAGTGGGATTATTAACCGATAGAATTAATAATAAATTGACAAGAAGTAATTTAATTAATGAACATGCCCTTAACCGTGAACCTGTGCCTTTAAGAGCAAGTGAAGTTATAAGGAGGCGGGAGGGGGGTAAGCTATGTATGTATAACAATGAAGGGTTTTATTAACGTTCACAAATCTTTGATTGGAAACTATTTGCCAGACACAAACCACTCAGTCCGCAAAGAAGCAAATTCTCCATATTCAAACAAGTGAATCAACGACTAGCTTATCGGGAGAACGATGGACGATTACAGAAATTCGCCGACAATTAAGTTCGGTGCTGACGCATTTCCTGCTCAGTCACAGATGCCCCTCTTCGAAGTTTTTTTTTTTTTTTACGTATTGTCGTGAATTGATGGAACCTTAAATGCTTGCTTTCCGGCTATTAAAATGAGCTGTATGTAAAAAAAAAAAACAAGAAAAATTGAGAAAAATGACCATTTCAATTCAAGTCGTTTCTTGTAGTATTCTCGAAACTGAAGGATGTTTTGATAAAAAACATGGACCTGACTCAAAGCATGGAACCTTACGTCTCCTGTAAGCGTTTCCTGATTTTATCTCACCTAATGAATAGAATATGTGTGAAACTTTTTAATATGAATCGGTATATTTCAAAGAGCTACACAAAAGGCATATAAAAGAATACAATTGAGTAACAACATATGGTGTCACTTATTATTACTAGTTGATACCGATAGAAAGGTTTTAAAAACTCTTTAAACATAAGATAAAAATTGTTTCAAAAATTATATTGAGACAGAAAATTACTTCAGTGAAAATATTTATTGGAACAGAGCTCATGACTCTTGCAATAAAATGAATTGCACACGTCTTAGCGCGCACATGAGAGAACAAGCAACTCACAATCTAGCCAATTAAAAAATTGAATTTTTCTTACTTGTCCAAATCTCGCGTTCGTCTTTATTAACAAGAGATTATTGAATGATAGATCGTCTTGTATCTGCAAAGTGTGACAAATCTCCTTTCAATGTTGGTGATACTTTATGGGCTGTATAGGGAACCGTGAACACCCTCGGACGTCTGAGAACCAGACCAATGAGCTGCTTGCCTTACTACTATGAGTAAGCCAGTTCTGCGACTGCGGTTAACGTTCATCTTGAATGAAGTCTTTAGGTGAAAATGAAAGTTTGTCGTCGATGGATTAACAACACAGAATGAAAAACGAATAATTTGCAGTTTTACGGAATGACTGTACAGTTCTAAAGATTTGAGTCTGATTTTTAAAGTGTCTTTGCATGCCCACTGTATAATCACTTCACTTTTCGCAATAGTAACCTCCCAATTTTGAAACCGAATTTGTTGGCTTTGACGGGCATGGGACACAGTTTGTTTTCTTCCAATCTGGCCTATACGTGTTGTCAGTGCAGCATTTACTGGGAAGACCGCCCGTATCTCGTTGCTGTGACAAGAACTGTCTTCGGTTGGACGAAAGTGTAAAGCAAAGCTGTACTTTTCCAATTATCAAGAGATTTGTGGCAGGATTTGGGGAGTTCGAACCCCACAACAGGTCACGGGCACCGGATCCCTTTGTAATGGTTAGGTTCCAGGTGGAAAGTATTGTAGGTCTAAGGGCTTGCGTAGACGGGCATGATTGAGGAACTGTTTGGCTAGTGTCGCAGATTTTAGGCAAGTTATCACAAAGGCTGTAAGGATTGTCAATTTCCTTTCCAGATGGGCATTGGGATCGACTGTAACCCTCAATGTATTTTGTTTTGTATTCGTCATATTTAGGAGGTAGGTAGTACGCCAACTTAGCACTTCCATCGAAGGAACTGCCAGCCACAGACTTCAAATGAATTTGGGTTCTTGAGAATTCTCTTTCCCTTCCAGTTTTGTACTGTTTGAGTGGAAGGTACAACTTGAAACTTTTCACAAATGGTGCAAGTTTCTCTCCTCGTGCCAGCCAGTTGTATTTCCGTAACCATGTTCTGTTTGCGGGTAAACGAAAAATGACGGTGTTGCTCTCCTTAAGGGCTGGCAGATCAATGAAACCCTTATCACCATTGAACTGAGGACGTGTTGGAATGTAAACAAATCTTTCATCTTCATGATACGCAGAATCTGGCCGATAAGCGATTAGGGTGGTTAGATCGTGCTTAGAAAAGAAACCAGGTTTTGCGCATTCATTGATCTTCCTGCCTTGATTAAGGTACTCGAGTTTGTTTCAGTAAAAAGATGCATGTGACTGAAGTCGATACTGTGTCATCAAGAATCCTAACATCATTTTACTATCGTCTAGAAGATTACTCGACCCAATAGACTTTGCCAGCTTATTTGCAACGTTACCACGGACAACTCGGGTTAGAGCATTTACAAGGTTAAACTGGAAGTCAAATATGTTCTCTCTTAGCGTTGAAAATTCAGCCAGAGTTCCCTGCAGTTTTTCACACAAGAGATTGCCACCAACCCTACCCTGGACACCTGATACAATGACGCCTTGCATACCAAACAGTAGCCCGCAAGCAGTATCCTTAAATGATGAAAGAAGAGCATCATTTTTGGCAAGATCAGATTTATCAACTTTGGGACTATAGTCGTCGAATGCCTTGATGAATTTAGCAGCATCAGTATCGAGTTTGTCGATATTGTTCCTCTTAATCGCGTTCACCATGCGAGTAAGATTTGAAATTTGCGCTGAGTTGTTTAAAAACTTTTTCGCTAATGCAGATGTATCGCTTAATACTTTTTCTAGATTCTGAATCAAAGCTTTTCCTCTAGCTCTCTCTTGCAATGAGTTTGCAAACTCAGCTGTTTTGTCATTAGCATCACCACCTCCAAACAACAACTTGAAAGGATTCCAGGTGTCGCGGAAAATAGTAAGTAGAAGATTAATCGTTTTGTCGGCTACTTGTATATCAAGGGCCGTTTTCGTTGCCTGTAAGACATCCTTCATATCATTCCCTACCTTTTTTGTCAGTGATGCAGCCGAATTGTTAAATTGCTTTAGTTTTTTGCTGATAAAATTAACGTCAGCCTGCGCAATTCCTTTATCGTAGTTCGCAACTTTACGAAAATAGGTGGAAAGTTTTTTGCGTAAGTTTTTGTCATTTCTCTTCATGTTTCCTAGAATATTCATCTGGGCCAAATCGTTTCTCTGTAGTTCAAGCATCTTTTGATGGTTAATGTTGGAAAAAATTCGTAAATCACGAATTCGATGGGGTTTCGTTCTGTCTTTTTTAAGTTTTTTGAGAGAAACATAAATTGGGTATATGTTGCCAACTGTGCACACATCTGTGTTTGCTTTTAGTTTTGAACAGGCGAAGGAGACTATTTCTAGGGATTTCCCTCTCTTCCCAAACATTGACATGGCACGGGTTAAGTTAGAAAATGCGTTCTTCTGAATAGCTCGGTCGAAAAACGTATTCCAATTAAGAGTGCTGCTATATGCTATCATCAAGTTTATCATTGTATCAATTTCCTTCAAATCTGTTTTCAGTGCATTTTTAAAGGGCCGTGCTGTAAGAGAATTACTACAAAAGCTTCGGGCTATGAAGTCACTGATTTTGTACCACAGTAAAGCGCCCATCATCGGAATAGCATTCAACACATCGCAACTGTTGTCTGCCTTGCACGCATTTTTTGTGCTTGTGCCTGTTCGATCACCAAAAGGGTGGGGTGTTTTTTCTCCAGTACACTTTTCTGCATTTATGCAGATTTTAGCGATGGAGAAGTTTGATGTGTGATGCCTTCTTAAATCTTCGTTTACTGGAGTACAGATTGCCTCAAATGGAACAGGGCGTTCAGCGACTCTTGTTTGGGGAGGAGAAAGCACCATCTGTACGCACTGGTAATCATAATATCCCTTAAGCGTCTTCAAGACAAATCCAAGGCCTCGTTCTGTATAGTTGACCGTCAGGTTCTTGCTTCGGAAGTATTTTTTGACCTTAGGTTCTTTTGGTTGGTTCAGAAGTCGCACCAGCAGTTTCCTGTTATTTTCTACTTTTGTAAAATCGAGGTTGTCGATGCCGTTAAACTGGGAAGAGAAGTTTTCAAGAAAGGTGATAAATCCCTCCACATTTTGATCAGTCAGTGGTCTCTTCTTGAGAGTTTCTATCTTTTCGATGAGCGAATCTCTGACCTGAAGTACATCATTCAGTTTTTTTGCCCATTTGGGATCACGTTCTTGCGCCTCGACTCCAATACAAATTATTAGAAAGATAGTAAGGAACATCCTCGCCATCATCTTGGCTTCTTGCTGTGAAAAGAAAGAAAAATACTGAGAACATTTCTTCTGTTTGGTGAAACTAGTTAAGTGAACCCTTTATCGCGGGACAACTGATATCGTTAAAGGAGCTGTTTCACGAAATTCAGCCAAATTAGGACATTAAGAAATACCCGTTAAATTAAGAGCAACATAAAAATAACCACTTAAACATGAAAGGAAGGTTAAAATAACAGAACGGAAACAACAAATGCCACGGATGGGCAAAACTGAAGAAAACTGAGACGGATTGAAATTAGGGTTTTTGAAAACTGTTCAGCCTAACAGTTTTTCAAAGTTCATCCCTGCTGCTTGCAACTTCAAAAATAATGCTCGGGAGACATATTTGTTTGTCTCGGATCTCTGATTTTGTCATTTACATGTAATTTCTTTGCCTACTTTAAGTTCCATAGCAATTGAGGGCGAGTAATTGGTAAAATTAAACAAAATGAACTGGACTGCCGAGACACAGCCCCTTTAATCGAATGATTTTTATCAAGTAAGTAACTACTGTAGTCATCTGATATCCGCAATATTTTTTCGACCGCACGGGGTTTGAACCGATTATATTAAGCAATTATTCGAGAATGGCCCTAGTCCCAGTTGTTCAAAAGATAACGCTATCCACCGGATCAGAAACGTGCTAGGGAAACCAGTTACGCTATTCAGTGGGTAGGTCTACTTTTTGGTCATATGTTGCTAGTAGCCGAGAAATTCAAGTTGTACTAGATAGTGTTTTCGGACCCTAAGGTTCAGTAAGCGTGCTCCATTTTGCCAGAAAAAAACGTAAAGGCCTACTCACAATTACCTTAGTTTCAAAGCCCAAAACCAAAAGCTGCCATTCTTAAAGCAAGCAAAACTGACTAAACAAGTCACGGAAATTAATTAAGAACTAATTTCCCTCTACTTGAACACCTTACCTTGTGTTGTACAAAAAAATGTTCTGTCTCTTTCCAAAAGTTCAAATCTTTACGTTTTATGGTAGAGAAACACTTTAGCCATCAACAGAAACTAGGAACAATAAATTAGTGACTATTACTGACCGCGACTGTGATTGCTTCATTGCACTATTGTTTGACGTGCTAGGGGGTTTTCTGGTGGCATTATGAGATTATTTCTCAGTATAAAATTTCATCTTTTCAATTTTAAAAATTACCACGCGTATTGCTTGTAAAAGGTCTTGCAGACCCAATAACTTAATTTCCATGTTGGTTATTTCGTCCCTGTTTTGAGAATTTGTCTGTTTGGTTTTGGTTTTTGTTTTTACTTTTGTGTTGTAGTTGTTGTTTTCTTTTCACAATTTCATTTTTTTGTTCGTTCTTTTCTTGTTAATTGTGATGGCTTCTTACAACTTTAATTCGTCCGAAATGCAGCGGGCATAGGGGACGCTCAGCTTTTTCTTTTTTCTTTTTCTTTTTGTTGTTTTAATTTTTAATTTCAGTTGTCAAGCACTATAAGCAGGTTCCTTTTTCATGGTAGTTACCATAAACATGTAAGCCTTTTTTTTTCGCTTAACTTATTCCATGACGCCATGATTACAACTTATTAACAATTGCACAGCGCTAAAGCATCGCTTAGATTTTTTGTTTCAATTTTCTTTCTGGCGCAAATTCAGAAGCCGCTCAAAAAAAAAAAAAAAAATATCAACCATATTCTGAGTTTGAAACTATTCACTTTTCTGTCACCAAAAGTTGGTTCCATTTGGTGAGTGCATTGGCCTTGTTTTTTTGTTTTGTTTTGTTTTGTTTTTTTTGTCGTTGTTTGTTTGTTTTTTCTGGTGTGCCTTTTGCCTTGCCTGTTTGTTTTTTCTCTTGTTTGTTTAGAAATTATTGAAAGCATTATCAAGAGCTTTATTACTTTTGGTTTGTTTGCACTAATATTCTTTACTTATCAGTCTACTTTGAAACAAGACTTCTGACAGGTCAGTGCATCTAGTTTACATTTCTCAAAATAATCAAATGAAATTAAACTGGAAGGATGAAAACAAAATATATTTTACTTTGTTGAAAAGTAAGGTCGTGCTATTTACTAACTTGTTAACACAAAGAGTCTTAGAGGACTTGATTCAGAAAAATGAGTCTTCTATGCATCGCCATCAAGAACGGTTCATAATTGACTGAGGGTTAAATGACTAATGAGCTTCAAGCAACAACCTGTAACTTGAAAAACGATTCAGTGTTATGAAAAAAATGATTACATTTTTAGCATTTTCATTGTAGGTAGAAATATTTGCTCGTGTTGAAGATGAAACTAAGCTGGCTAAGCACGACTCTTGGTTTCCTTTTGGTAACATTTATCGCTGGTAAGTTTCATTTCCTTCATGAAGACAAATACTATGCAGAAACTGGCGGGAACTTGACAGCAATCTAATATACACACCCTCTTCTTAAAGCTCCTTTAGTCTCCTTTGGATATATAATTACATTTTTAAGTATTGCGTCTAAGTCAAGAATCTTGTCTTAAATTTGTCAGTGTAAGGCAAAACCGTAAAATGGTTATGCAGGTCTAGCCATGTCATCCACATCCCACATCCCATCTTCAGCGTGCTCCTCATGTGGTGAATCAGATGAATTCCTCGAGCATCTTTTTCTGTCTTGTCATAATACTAAGAATTTCTGGGCTGAGGTCATAAAATGGCTTGTTGATCGTAAAGTCAAGATTGAAAATCTTCAGACAAAGACATACTGTTTGGTATTGGAAGTGAGGACTAGATATTTGGGAATCATCGTATTCTTACTGGCAAAACAATACCTATACTCTTGTAGGCAGAACAAATATTCTCCATCCATTAGAGTCCTCAATTCCAAAATTAATACCATTTTCTTATTCGAGACAATGATCGCTAAGTCAAAGAATATGTTGGAAATCCACAATAGAAATGGAGCAAATATAAATCTGATTAGCAGACGATCCTTTCGCCGCTTACTTCATTTATTATTTTTTTTCGTATAAATAGAAGAGAATGTACTGGGGTTTGTTTCTTTCCTTTTATTATTATTATTATTATTATTATTATTATTATTATTATTATTATTATTATTATTATTACTATCAGTATGTAATTGTGTTTGTGCGATGTTTATATGTTTAGTTAAAAAATGAAATACATAACAAAATGAAAATTTATTAAAATACAAAAAAAAAATTCCACATCCCACAAGGGGGGGATGTCCGTGTTGAAGACTAGAGGTACATTTTTCATGAGGCTCCAGGTATAAATGAATAAGTTTGGGGAGTTTCGAGTTCATGCTCAATGAATGGGAGGGAAAACTGTCGTTTAGGTCTTTAAAAGGGGTTTAAGGAAAAAATTATATATCGAGAACAAATCCAGTAAAAGGCCAGGGCGTGACCTGAAGTCTGGAACAGCTCTGTTATCCTTTTACTTCTGTTGATTCAAGAGAAAATGACCCTTGCTCGCCAACAAGTCCTCAGTAGCTCAGAGGTTAGAGCATCCGATCTAGAACACCGAGGGTCGTGGGTTCGAATCCCATCTGGGGCTCAGATTTTTGCTGTGTCCTCTTATGGTTGATTCTTTACATCTCCCTTTATTTCCTCTATAATATTGATTCAAGTTACTAGGCATTTTGACTTTGCACGGGAAATCCGGTCGAGATGGTTCTCAAAGTGCATGCATTGTGGGACTGTTTTGGGAGACGAATTTGCCGCCATGTTCAAAATGTGTCCCCCAAAACAGTCCCACAATGCACTTTGACAACCATTTTGACCCGGTCTCCCGCGCAACCTCAAAGTGGCGATTACTCTCACTCTCCTTGTTCTGCTATAGACCGTCACGTGACTGCCAAATGCGGTTTATCCCAGAATTTTGCTAATACCCCATGGGCTGCTTGCCTGAAACCTGTCAATGGAAAATGTCCAAACAATTTTAAGACACTTGATGACCCAGATGGCAATAGTATGTATAAAGCCTGTGGTTCTAGCATGGTGTGCTGTCTTTTAACGCCAGTCGTTAACTTGCAGGTAATTACATGTAAAAGCCTTAGACATTAGCTAGACAGGGTAATCATGTATCAGATTTAAAGGGGTTGTGTCGCGATGATATTGCTATTTTTAGGCCAATTGTTCGCTGAAGACATTACTTAGTGCCTTAACCCTTACCTAAAATGATCCCGCTGTAAAATAGTCTCCTCCACAGCTGTTTTTAGCCTCATCACGCAACGCTGTGGGGAGGAGTGTTGCGTGACGAGCCTAAAAACTGCTACGAAGGAGACAAGTTATAAAGAAGATATAAAAAACATTTGCCAGGGAACAGTAACCATAACAATTTTTTGGTGATTTTTGTTGGCATTTCTTGCTGGCTTTGCTTTCAA